ATACTAGTGTTTAACAGTGTTTGGGCTGTAAGGGCATAGGAGGAAACCCTATTCAGCCATTACGTACTAAAATGGTAGTAATCATGGTAGAAGGAAGATTACACATAATCGATAATATTGGTAGCAGGGGTTTTTGAATAGACTTTAATGTTTGTGGAGCACTTAATATGTGTAAGACCTTATGCTAGGCCTAATGGTGTTAGGTCAGATCATGGTGTCTGCCACTTAAGAGTTCCTAGCATAATTTGAGAAGTAGCCAAATATGTAAATAGTTCTAGGGCAAGCAACATCCATCAGTGCTATGAGAATAATATCTAAGAAGAGATTGTATGAGTTGTGGTAATTAGGCACCAGAATGGTTGGTTTAATGTGAAAAGTTGGGAGTTCAGCTGTTTTCTGGATCTTCTGGTGTAGTATCTCTCTTGCAGCTGTCAAAAAGAAGTACCCACCATAAATGCTGAGGAACAAGTTCAGAAGAATTGTACCTTTCTTTTTTAAAACCTGCATCTGAAATCTTGCTACGCTGTTGGACAGTGATTGCAATGGGATGTGGGGAGAACTTGATAATATGGGTGACAGTAGTAACCACAATGTTTTTCATGTGAAACCTTTATAAGAGTGTATATCAAGGATAGCTTAATAAAAAGAGGAAAAAAACTAATAAACCATCATAAGACAGTAAAAAAAAAAAAACCTGCATCTAAAAAATTTTCACTAGGTATATAATTCTTCTTTACAGTTTTTTCCCAGTTTTTTAAAGATGTTGATCAATCATTGCCTTGCATTGTTTTAGGGAAGCATTCTGTTTCTTTGTTCCTCTGATATATTGTCATTTTTCTGATTGCTTTTAAGGTTTTTATCTATCTCTGATTTTAAACAATTTGAATATAATGTACCTGGTGTAGTCTTTATTGTATTCCTTGGGTTGGAGTTTGTGAGCTTCTTGGTCTGGATTTATATTTCTCATTAAGTTTGGGGAAATTTTGGCTATTATTTCTTCAGTTTTTTTCTATCTCCACCCCAACCCCCACATCTTCCAGAGACTCTAATTACATATATGTTAGGTTGTTTGAAGTTCTACTACTCAGTGATGCTCTGTTTATTTTTTCTGACTTTTTGTTTCACTTCGGATAGTTTCCATTGGTATGTCTTCAAGTTTATTCATCTTCTTTCCTGCAATGTCTAATCTCCTGTCAATACTATCCAATGTAATTTTCATCCCAGAGATGAAACTTATCTATAGAAGTTCGATTTGTTTCTTGTATCGTCTGTCATTATTTAACATGGTCAATCTAGTTTCTTAAATTCTTGAATATATGGAGTATAATTGTTTTAATTTCCTTTAATTTTATCTGTGTTATTTCTGAGTCACTTTGATTTTTCTTTTCATTATGGGTTTGCTTTTCTTGTTTCTTTCTGTTTTTCTTTTTATTGAATGTTGGACATTATGAATTTTATCTTCTTGGATGCCGGGTATTTTTATATTTCTATATTCTTGAACTTTGTTCTGGAACGTAAGTTACTTGGCAATAGTTTGGTCCTTTTTGGTCGTGCTTTTAAGCTTCTTGGGCAAGACCAGAAACATTTAGCCTGGAGTTTAATTTTTCTTCTTTACTGAGGTAAAACTTTTCTGAGTACTCTATCCAATTCCTTGTGAAGTATGAGATTTCCTCCTATGGTCATTGGGACAGGAATTATTTCTGGTCCTGCGTGAGGCCCAGGTATTGTTTCCTTCAGTTTTTTCAGGTGGAGCTTTCCCTGGCCTCAGGTGGTTTCCTCACATGCTTGTGCCGATTAGTAATTCAGCTGAAGACTTGGCAAGGTGGTTGGGATCCAGTATGTGTATCTTTCTGTGTAGCCCTCTCCTCTCTAGTACTCTACCCTGTAAACTCCAGCCTCTTTGGCCTTCCCAGGCTATCAGTTCATTCTCCTAAACTGAGAGAGGGCTCTGCTTGAATTCCCCTTACCTGCACTGTGGCCTGGAAATTCTCTCCAGCCAGTAAGCTAGAGCAGGTGTAGACCCTTGTTTGCTTCTTGTCTCTCAGGGATCATTGTCTTTTATTGTCTGAAATCCAGTCTTTTGAAAACTATTGTCTCAGATATTTTGTGTTCTTTAGTTGTTCCAAGTGGGAAGGTAAATCTGATCCCTGTTACTCCATCTTGGCCTGAAGCAGAAGTCCTCTCAGAATAGAACTTACATATTTCATACTCATTCTGTCATGGGGAAATTGGGTGGGTCTGGCCTTATCTTTTCATTTTGTCATCCTTCTTTTCACAGCTTCACAACTAGTTCTTAAAGAAAATGAAATTTAATATTTATAGAATGCCTTCCATGTGCTATACTATATTTTAGTCGCAAAAGTGAATAGGCTTGGCCCCTGCACCAGATGGACTTCAGGTCTAGTGAGGGAGACAAATGAGGTTCTTGTTGATATAATTAGAAGTAATATATATTTTGAAATATCTCAGATGCCACCACAATGTAGAGTGACGTGTACATTGTGTAACTACGATAAATGATTAAAGCATTTGAATATGAAGGCCTTTTGCTGACACTTGTAACTTCTTTCTCCTAGCCATGACCAGGTTGTCCACCCTTTCTTTCTGCCATTGAAGAGGGAAGGATTGTAACTGTGCTCTTGGCCCTACAACTGCCCTGGATTAACCTTCTTTTATATGACTTTTCTTTGCACCTGAAGTTTTGTCTGTTGTTAGATCTGACTTTATGTTTCTCTTTTACTTTCACCAATATACAAACTTAAAGACTAAAGTATAACAAATTAGTTGCATTTGCTGTAGACAGATGAGTTTTTTCCAGTGAATTTGTATATTTTCAAAAGTAAAATTTAGTTGGTTGTTGAGATTGGAGGGGAGGGAAGGTTAAGGGTGGCAGAGGACCACAGTTACAGCTAATAAATCTGGCCTATGTTTTCAAAGGAACTCTTTGGATGATGAAAGAGGTCAACTTGAGTTTTTTAGGGTAAGATGAGGGTTGCTAGTGACATTTAATAATTCTCCTCCTGGGACTGGGTGACAGGAAAATGTGAGTAATGCCAGCATGCGCTGACTGGGTAGGTATGTAGCACATTACCTGAAAAGTGAAAGTTGCAGGTCCTGATTGGCGCAACACTAACTACCTTGAGCCCTGATCAAGACAGCCAGACCTCGAGTAGTGGAATTTGTTTTTTGTCCTAGTCAGTTGTTGTGACCAGAGTGCTCCTTAGAAAAATAGCCTATGTTTAGATGACTGTTTCCCAAGTGGTCTATCTGGTACTGTAGTAGTTCTGGCTATTCCTTCTCAAGGAGCTCATTGATGTAACTTCAGAGAACATGCCATCTTGCTGTGTGTGAAGTGTCTTACAAGACACACTGCTGTGTCAGTTTTTAAGCTTCTGGTTCCAGATGTCTCTAGTAGCCCTACTTTTTCTCAGATACTTGGCCAGCTTGCACATATGAATAGCCTTTTTGTCCTGCAGAGGCTGTGAGAAGCTCTGCCCAAGCATTTGAGTTAACCACCATTTATGGCGCAAGCCCTCTGTGAGGCACTCATTGTACTCCTAACAGAGGATGTACAAGAGATTTCACTGGCCTCAAAGGTACTTATAGTGCAGAAGGGAAATAGCATAGGTGAATTCAGAGGCCCATTCAGAAGGACCACAGAAGAAAAAAATTAGAAGATAAGCAAAACAGTTGGTGTTTTGAATTCTGTTTCTTCAGGCTTCTCCATTGGGATTGGTGTCTTGAATGACCAAGCAGCTGGCACCCAACCATTTATAGACATGTTCTATTTTGAGACTGAGTTTGTGGTTTGAGAAGGATGTCTAATCATTTTCAACAAATGCTTATTGAGTGTACCAAGTATTGTGGTAGGCACAGGAATACCAAGAAGTATAAAGTTATATCCTCTGCTTCTAAGGAACTGCTCATATTTGGAAATTCAGGGTGTGTCTAAGATTAAAAATAGTCTTAATAAGATAGAAGTTTCATAAGAGAAAAGCATAATTGTCAACATTTGGTAAAAATATATAGCAAACTATTAACCCCTGTGGGATATAGGGCATGTGGCAGGGGCAGAGGAAGGATCTTCGCTTTTTACTATATACATTTCTATATGGTTGGGAATTTTTACCAAGTGCTACTATTTGCCTTTTTGAAATTATTTCTTTGTCAGTTAAAATAAAGATAGAGACTAGAAGATTACATACATTAACCTTGAATATCTTTGTGTGATAGGATTATGAATGATTTATATTTTCTGTATTAAGCCTCCCTACTATTGTCTACGTTTTCTATAATGGATATATACTGTTTTGTAAATAGAGAAGAAACCATTTGAAAAACAAAACCCAAAAGCACTTACAATGATTATTATAATTACATTTCAACATCCTAACCGTATTTTGGATGGTAATATACCAGCTTATCCTTTTTGTCTTCTCACTCACCACAACTCTATTAAGGTCATCCTTCTATCATTACTATTATTAAATAAAAAGATGAAGCAAGGGCATTTCTACCTGCTTCTGTCCCTTGTCATTTTGAGTGAGTTAGCCTAGAAGCAAAAGGAATCCAGATATTAGCTATTCAACTATACTGTGATGGCTGCTTAGAAAAATTTAAATTCTCCTGATTGGGTTACAATTATATCTGTCAATGTGGGCTGTGATCTCTTGTTTTAAAGCATCCTCAGAATACTTTCTGTATCTTTATATTTAGTTCTGTTGGAGAAAGCAACTAGACTATCCCATCTCCCCATCTGGTACAGTGAAGAAAACTCACTGCTTGGCTTACTTTTTGTCTGAGAGAGAAAATTTCCAAGTTATTTGTAATTCAAATTAAGCAGTTAAATTCTCTCTCCACCAGATTTTGTTCTGGGAGTTCCTATTTTCTTATAATTATGAATTTAATTACTTTGAAAATAATAGTTGTCTTAATTATTTAAGGAAGTCAAAGATTGAAGGAGAGATGTCATTTCTAAATAAATGTTTTTTTCCTTATAGCATGTGTTTGATGACCTCAGTGGCTCAGTATCCCTGTCGTGGGTTGGAGATAGCACTGGGGTAAGTAATATTTTGAGTCTGTTAATTCAACCTAGCAGGAAGAAGATGTAGATTGTGGGAGTTTAAGCCCTGAATGTTGTTCCTTCCTGAAATTTCTCTAACCTCAACAGTAGAAAGTGCATGCTTGCAGGACAGACTTCCAGAAAGCTGTGCTCAGTTTGGTATTGCTTTGGAACAGGGAACATCTTGTGACCACCTTCTTCAGTAAAAGAAAGATAGCCACCTTTTTAGTCCTTGAGGGCATCTTGGCATCAAGATAAGCAAGAAGGAAAAAGAGGAAAGAGAGTGCCATGTGCTAAGAAGGGACCCTCATAATACTTGGGAAAACCCTTGTGTGGAAGCAGAAAGCTGCACATTGCATGACTGGGCATTTTCCCAACTGCACTGTTCCCATGTCCTTTCCCACAGCTTTTGTCAAAGGGCCGTGGCACCCATGGACTCATGGCCATCTGTTGGCCCTTACCCTTCCACAAAGCGGGAACTGCCCGGGTTGAGGGAGTGGGAAAGTCAGTCATCCCTACTAATGTGGAGCAATCTAGTAGGAGCTTGTGCTGAGGAAGCATTGGCCTCAGGTTTTGAGTCAGGACTTGGTTTTACCTGGCTCTGTTGTCCTGCCTCAAGAGCTACCTCTGGTAGTGCAGTAATGTATATATCATGGCATCAAGGCTCATGATGGCTATATCAGAATCTGAAAGAAATGTAATTTTGATGCAAGTCTTAAGTTTCTTATTTTAATTAATTTTTAAACTTCTGGCAGAATTTCCTTAAGCATGTCTCAATTTCTTCTAAAATTTGAGTTGCGCCCTAATTTCCATGATTTTTCCATTTATCTAAGATAGTTGGCATCTGTAAGCCTTGTTATGTGGCTGTTTGAGCCTTCTTAGTTTCTTGTACTGTTCTATCAGAATCCTTTCCTCATTCATGTTTTTCTCTAGACAAATACTTTAAAAATTATTTTAAAAATACAAGGAGAAGAAAAGGATACATATATGATACAGTGACCTCTATTAGAACATGCGTACTATTCTAGCCTCTGTAAGAGAAAGATGATTTTTGCCTGAGAATATCTTATAACGATATGGATAAAAAAAAGTTAAAACCTTTCTTTATTGTAATGTGTTGTTGATTAATGCTACCTCACTGCTTTAGGTATAGGCAACAACAAAATGAGTTGAACTCTTGAGTCATTATAAGCCCTAGTAACTTTGTCCGTCTAGGTTTTCAGATATATTATAACATAGGCTACTACAAAGCAGGGCTTTTGGCAGTCTTTCGGAGGTAGGATTAATCTCATCACATGCAAGCATGTAACTAAACTATCTGTCTTATTGACCACATGCTTTTGTCTCTCTCCAGATCATTCTAGTCTTGACTACCTTCCATGTACCTCTGGTAATTATGACTTTTGGACAGTCCAAGCTGTATCGAAGGTGAGATGCATAATATAGGGCTTGGGCATTGACTGAGTAACACATTGTGAATTTAAGTTCTCTGCTTTTCTAGACCTGATGAAATCTTAACAGTTGATTTAAAAGATCTAGCTATCTTAAATTTTCACAGGACTGTCACACTCAGCATATTTTTAAATATCTATTTAGCAATCTGAAGAAGTATGAAAAGGAATCTAGTTCCAAGGAGATTAGATTGACCTGACTGAATGGCAAAACTAAAACAGAAGATGAAAGAGTCTACGGGGTGTATGTTTGTTAACTTAAATGGATATTTATTTGTAGGAAGTTTAACCATCTTTGTATTTATTATAAGCACAAAATGGCTTGTATATCCCTGAAATAACAATCCTCACTGTACCTTCCAAGTGAATATTACTTATATAACATTTTGAGGCCCAAACAGGTTGTTTCTAGATCAGACCTACCAAAGTGACATGTGGTGTTGACATGTAGGTGGTAATGATGGCAGCATATGTCCTGGAACCATAACCTGTACTGTGACATTCAGTTTTAGAGTTGTCTTCTCAAAGGTATAGTTTGGTTAATAGTAGGATAGATTCAAGACAAACTAACTCCCAGAAATTGTTGATTGTCTTGTCAGTCATTTGTGTCTATCCCATTTTTTCCCAAGGGACCTAAAGAAATATGACACTCCAGCAGTTGACATCAAACTACTCCCAGGGCTAGGGGATCTCCCAGGATTCATCCTACTTTATCAGGGTTCTTTATTTAACTGTGGTCTTTTAACCAGTGCTCTCTGTCCTTCAGCACAGTGACATTGGCTTACAAGTAGGCCAAGAAGGTATTGTTTGAAATTGCTGTAAGCTCCTTAATGGCAAGGTTCTTGACTAACTTAGGGTTCTCCAACAACTAGCCAAAATGACACATAGGAAGGCAGTACACGGTAAGTGAGCGAATGAATGAATGCCTTGGCTTCTCTATAATTTTTAGACTGATAATACATGTTTATTTGTTTGATAAGCATTGGCAATGTACTATGGAGCCCTAGTTTTAGAAAGGGCCATAATTTCTAGTTTTTTTTTTTCGTTTTTGTTTTTGTTCAGTTAGAACAGTAGTTGAACCATTTCAGACAGATGAAAGATATCCCATTTGTGGAGGAAAAAAAAATACATGAGAAAATACATTACAAATGTTTGTGACTTAAGTAACTCCAGTGTTTAAGAAACTTTGCTGTCATAAAATCTTTACTTACAATACAATTTTTCTTACCAGTATCTTTCATCATAAAAGCAATACAATTCCACGGTAAAACATTTGGAAATTTTAAGGGAAAGAAAAAATTTACCCTAAAGTCAAGTATAATCAATATATTTAATCATATGGCTGTATAGACTTGGGACGCAACATGGTAAAATGTAAAGTTGCCAGGTTTTGTTTGCAAATAGGCCTGGGATTGAATCTCAGCACTGTTGTTTGTAAGCACAATGAACTCTGACAAGTCATTTAATCTCCTTGAGTCTTCTTTGTCATCTGTAAAAGAAAAATTATAATATGGCTACCTTAGAGCTGTTACGGGTTTTGCTCTGCAGTACCTGCCATGGAGTAAGAACTTGGTGGGGTTAGCTGCTGTCATGTCAACAGCCAGGGGTGGCATGTAGCCAGCATGTACTGGCACTGTTGTACCAGTTGTTAAAATGAATTAAAAGCCTTCCATGCCAGTTGGTAAAAAGTGATTGCCTATGCCCAGATGCCTCCATGGCTTCTACAAATACATACACATCCCCACCCTTGTCAACATATGGGAGTTAATAACACCTGGCTTTACAGCCTGTATTCATTCTCATTGGTCAGTGCTCATACCGTGATGTTTTTCATGTCCCATCTGCCAATAATCCAGAATTTACTTAGTCATTATTCTCTTGGACACTTAAGTTGTACCTAATTTTTTCACTGTTATTAATGCTGCTGTGACATAATGTGTGTCATGATTGGAATGCTAAATTCCAGTTCATTTTTTAATAGCAAATGAAAACCTCCTCTCTGATCTCTACATGTTTTGAAGGCTGCTTACTAAACTGCTTTTCCAGGTTGAAATTATTTTCTATATATATTGCTTCTGCCACTTTTTTGCTTGCCTTCTGAATTTACTTTTTATTCTCTACATTGCTCTTTAATCTTGTGCTTAGAACTGGACCTGACAGGTTCCTGAGTCATACCCATGGGGAGTGAAATGTGTTTTCATGGCTTTTTTTCCCATCCTTTTGCTTTTCAATATTGTGCTTACCTTAAGACAGCCCAAAACAAAACAAAAATACAGTGTCGCTGTGTTACTGTTTAAATCCCTACCACCATCTGACTCAGCCTTTCTTATCCTATATTTGTCTAGTCTTCTGAGGAACCCCTAATATATACTTTACTAGAGAGTAATCCTATTTGTTTCTTGTATAATATCATGTTACTAAAGTTCTTTTCCTTCATACTCCACAACAGGGTTTTTTGTTTGTTTGTTTTCTGTTTTTACCATGGTCATTTTGAATATTAATTATTTCCTCCCTACTGTGAAGTAGAAACTCTTCCAGAATTTAGGTGGAAACTGTAAATATGCCTGTGGCCTCTCCAACTGAGCTGGCCTGGTCTGTTCTGAAGTGACTCATGTGGTTGAACAGGCCAGCCAAGAGGCACGTGTTGCTTAGTTATGGGAAAGGGAGGGAACACCTTGATCGAGATGAGTCCTGAATATGCTGAGATTGCCCAACTGAGAAATGAAAACCTGTTGAACCGACTCTAAAGGCTCCTCTGTTTTACACAGGTTTAATGATTATATTACTTATTGGATTATCTTTTTCTACTAAATCTTACATGGTCAGAGGTTCATTTGGCATTCAAATAAAAGGAAGCTAATCACATGCCTACGTACCCTGGTGCAGAGGCTCACAAGAATTGAAGGGAGTTGTCTCTTACCTGTGCCAAGCTAGAGGGAATATACATTGGTCCTTAGGTTGTGAAAAAGAATTGTTGGAGATTTGGGCCATAATAAAGTCCCTAGGCTTTAAACAAATAGGAATAATAATTCATATGATAGATTATAATATACATTTGTCTCTCACAAATATGAAGTTAGAAAGGAAATTACAGTTATGATGACAATTTGATTTTTGATAGCCAAAAGAAGTTTTGTACCTTTTTGTTTTATAGTCTCCTGAGTCTAACTTTTCATGTTAAGCTCAACATAGTGAAACATATGTAAAGCATTATGCTACCCCAGAATTCTATACCTAATTACCACAAAATTGCTGGGCTATTTTTTTGTGATTTTTATTTCCTATTGAGAGTTGTTCAATTTTTGGAAATTCATAAGGGCATCTTTAAGAGATTTCACATGAAAATTTATTCCATATTAAGTGTAAGTTTTTCAGGATGTTTTGTTACTTGAGGTTAAAAATAAAAGGTTAAATGTATACAATAGATATTAAAGCAATGTACAGGAAACCAGCCTCTCCAAGACATCTTGTATGACAGCCTTTTTAATGATATGTTTGGTTTAATTTTCAGGTTATTAACAATGACTGCATATTTTAGTAACAAGGCTGGCATAAATTCCATTTACAAAATGCACTTTGGTGGGGGTTTTTTCTTAAAAAATTTTGTTGAAACTTATGATGGTATTTTGCTACACCTTCACTTTTACAAACTTTAGGGCATATAAAAATCATCAAAATGGTGGTTTTCATCACTTAAGAAATATTCCCATGAAAATACTTATTCTTAGAGTCATCTTGTCAGTCAAACCAAAATAAGAACCCCAGATAAATATTCATGCCTTCTGACAAAGTTCTGTGGTTTTACTTGCAATATCTTTCCCTCTTTATTATCTCACTTGCATTTTCAAAACTTCTGCAGGAAAATGCACCCTTTTCCAATTAGGATAAAATGCAATGAAATATTAAAATAAAAAAATGTAAGGTAGGTAGCATTAGACAGTTGGAGTCAAAAAAGAGACTAAAGTACTGGGAGATCAGTTTAATGTAAATTCAAATTCTGCCAATTTTACTTGGCAATAATTTTAGGCCTGATTCCTTTGTCATATTTTAATAAGCTACATTGTTTAATAAGCTACAACACTTAATAAGCTCTATTGATCTTTTAACTGGAAATCTCAATACAATCAGTGCTCATTATTCATGATGGTAAGGTTCTGCCAAGTCTCTATGAATACTGAATTAGCGAATACTGAACCATTGCTTGTAGGGGAGATACAGGGCTAGGATCCTGTAAACCTCTGGTCACAGCATTCAGTTTTGTCAATTGGTCAATAAAGAAAGTTGTTTTGCATATGTTTCTGTTTAAAGACACCTAATTTAATATATGTTAGACACCTTATTTAATGTATATTGTTGATTCACTAACATTGAGCTCACAACCACCTCATACCTGAAAGAAGCTTATCTAATTAGCATATTTTCTCCATTAGGCACATCAAAGCCTTCTTGTGCTCAGGAACACTGGACAGCACTTCAACACTGGTCTTAGGGGCCATTTTAAACAGCAAAATCACCAGTAAAGATGCAAAATGCACAGCATTAAATAGACCTTGAAAAAGATACAGTATAAGAGCTGAAATAAGAAGGCAGAATGTCCCCTTGTTAGACTTCAGGTGGGAATGTGTGCACTGAGTGGCTCAAATTTTTCATCTCCCCATGAATGTCTGTAAATGACTGCAAAAGTGCCGCAAGTTGATTTCTGAGGTTACAAATACCTTTCAGTGAGTAGGCAAGCTTGCAAATACAGAATATGGGAATAATGAGTTTCCTATAAGTTTTCCTGATAGTGAAAACTACAAAACTATAATTATTTTTTAAGAGTCTGTTATCATTGTGCTTTTATGTTGCAATTTACAGAAACTTAATCATGGCAAAAAGGACCTAAAGGAATAGAGAACTGGTTAGGTCTGGAAGCTGACTAAACAAGGATATCTGTGCTTATTTGATTGTTGAGAAAGTAAAATGTAAGAGCCCCGGAGATACTGTACGACTCTTACTGTTACTTCTCATTAAATGTCTGCAGAATAAATGCCTGGGGTCATGAGTTCCTATATATTGTAAATGAAAAGTGCCTAAAAAGAAGGGTGCAATTGTTGGCTATTGGTATTTGGGTTGAGTGTCAACATGAGTCTTCTGGAAAAACCCCTTTTCATTGCTTCTATCTTGCTAGAAATTTTAATGGTATATTTTATTAGAAAAGTTCATGTGATGATTATTTTTTCCCATCTATTTTAATGTCTAGATTTTTCTTGTTCTTGGAGTTTATAAGTCTGTATTCCAAAAATATTTCTGTTATAGCACTATTTTCTTGAGTTATAAATGTGCATATTCTTATGTATACCATAGATACATCCAAAAGTGATTATTTATTTTTGGTAACCGGAAATTGGTTGTTATTAAAAAGACTTGTTTCTAAAGCAGCTGGTTTCACAGGATTTTGTTAACTTATGATGTGACTGCCTTTCATAGCTCTATTTAATAGAATTCGAAAAGTAGATTTATTTTTGAAGGTATTCATTGATTTCTTCTTCAAGGTACTTTTAAATAATGTGTTATGTTAAAATGTATCCCTGAGCCCAGCATGGCCTCAACAGAACCCTACTTAAATACCAGCAAGTTGATACTAGTCTGTTACGGTCCAGTTTAATTGGCTCAAGAACCAGAGTGCTATAGCAGATGATTTTTGTTTTGCTCATGTTGCTTTCTTGTCCTGAAGGGCAGAGATGTATTTGTTGTGCCAAGTTCTTAAAAAGCAAGCAGGCTTGCTAATAGGTTTATGGCAGTTCCCTGGGGAGGTGATGAAGGAGGGGAGATTTGTAAGCTGGTGATCATCAAACCACTGCAAACCCCTTAAGAAAGTTGTCTGAGCAATTATGAGATGTGCACTGTAAAGCTAAGAATTGTTCATGTACGTCATTTGGCCTGCTGTCAGGGAGATAAGAGCTCTTCTTACACTCCAAAGCCAAAGAAAGGGTAATATAGGAATCTGGGGATGGCGTTTGATCCCTGCTTTATTTATCTGGAACTTTCCTATGTGTGTGCTAAAATATGGGATGAATCATGCAGATAACTTAAAGTCACACATAGTTTGCTTTAGTACTCTGTCAGGGACCTATATAAATATTCAGAGATACTTTCCTCTTGTCTCTCTCTAGCTTCTTCTAAGCTGATGTTTACTGCCAGGCCACACGCCCTGGCAAAATAGAGGAAGACTGCAGGCTACAAGAGAATAACTAAAAGCTGTCTCTGGTTTGGGGCTGAGAGTTAAAAGGATTGGCTTGTAGTTTCAATTTTGCCCTTAATTAACAGGTTGACTTTTAATAAACTGCCTCTCCTTGAACCTCCTCATCTGTGAAATGAGAGAGTTGGACAAGAGGCTTTCTTCAGTCTCTGGCATCTCTCATGTTCTACGGTTCTGTGATGATTTGTCGAGGCCACTACCAAAATTGTCCCATCTTTTAAGTCATATATTCTATCGGTGAAGACCACTGTACATTGTATTGATCACTGGCCAACTAACTGGCAGTACGGAGTGGTCTTCACTGCTGAGTGCACACTGAGACATTACGTTCTGTATCATGTTGTAGTAGAACTGTATGTGGTATTAAACCTGTCAGAGCTAAACAGCTACTGATTTTTGCTTTTGCTTTTATTTTTCAAAATATAAACGTGGAATCAAATATGGTTGGAATGAACTGTTGGGGAAACTTTGACAACCCAAGAGTCGATATTAAGTATGTTTTTCCTAGCTGTGTTTCACGTGTGGTGTACATTAGAGACCTGAGTCTAGGGATCATAATTTTGGGGTGCAGTGGATATGGATTTCAAGACTCCTGCTACTTAATTTACAGCTTCATCAGGAATACTATATATTAATAGATTAGTTGGAGGCTTTGGACTACATTTAGCAGAGATCCCAACTACAACTAAATTAGATAATAAGGAAATTAATGGCTCATAACTAAATACAGAGAAAGAATGGGCTTCATTGTCCATTTGATCCAGTAGCACGGGCTGTGCTTCTCTGGAATTCCAGAATTACCCCAGCAGCGCTCTCCACGTGTGTTAGCTTCAACTTCATGTTGTGCTCTAATTGTATCAAAATGCCTTAGCGGAGTGTTTTCTTGCATTCACGTACTACAGCATTGGGGTTTCTCAGCCTTGGCATTACTGGTTTTAGAGCCAGATAGTTCTTTGTCATTGTGGAACTGTCCTGTGCTTTGAAGGATGTTCAGCAGCATTCCTGGCCTACACCTGCTAGATGCCAGTAGCATCTTAAGCCTGAGCTATGATAATCAAAGATGTCTCCAGATACTACCAAATATTTGCAGCAGAGTGGGGAGCACAAAATACATTGGTTGAGACACACTGGTCTAAAGGAAGACAGACCATTTCATCAGGGGGCTGAGAAAAAGTGTTTTGTAAACGACTCCAAATTTCCCCCTTTTGTCTTATTGGCTTCATCTGGGTCACTGCCCAATTCCACCCATCAGCAGTAGGTGGGTAGAATTTCCTTCACACTAATTAGGCCCAACACTGGAGCTAGGAATGGAATCAGCTCCCCTGAGGCAAGTAACTGTTCAGGATAGGGTGAGTGCCTCAACAGAGTTGATGGAAAGGGGTAACAGATGCAGGGCAGGAACCCAACAGTGTCCATGATCACTGCATTCTTTATTTGTCCTGTTTTCTTCCTCTTAGTGAGGACTATGGAAAGAACTTTAAGGATATTACAAGTCTGATCAATAACACCTTCATTCGGACTGAATTTGGCATGGCTATTGGTCCTGAGAATTCTGGAAAGGTGAGACTCATTCATGCATACATAAGGCTGTTCTTGATGCCACATGCAGGGCTATCAGATATTAATACTAGAATTAGCCAGTGGTACACAGCAATATGTTCATTTAGTTTACCATTACTATATTTTAAAATCAAATATAATTTAATATTGATCATAAAACTTCATAATTATATGGCATTTGTTTAGCATTGCAATGTGTACCTCTTAAGATTTTAGTCTTTTGGGAAACTGGCTAATCTCAAACTGGCCAGGCTCAAATTCATAGTTCAGAGCACTTAGCTCAATTCAGGATGATATTTTTTGATAAGACTAATACTTGAGAAGTGGAGTGGCCATTTAATCTCTTTTTATAACTCATCTTACTTTTGAGGCTAAAATTTTAACTAATGTCTGGTGAACATGATGTGAGAACTTCTTGTGCTCTTACAGTATTATACCCTGAATCCAAACTTGCTTATTTCTAATCAGGTGATCTTAACAGCAGAGGTGTCTGGAGGAAGTCATGGAGGAAGAATCTTCAGATCATCAGATTTTGCAAAGAACTTTGTTCAGACCAATCTCCCGTTTCATCCTCTGACTCAGATGATGTATAGCCCTCAGAATTCTGATTATCTTCTAGCACTCAGCACTGAAGTAAGTCTAGTTGAGGAACTTCTCTAGCCTTTTGTATTTTTATAGTCTCAAAATATACTGTCTTAAAAGGACCTTGAGGGTAATGCTTTCTAGTGAGTTCTTATGGCATAAAGTATGTATTTCTTCCAATTTTTTTTGCACTTTGGTAAAGGGCATAACTTTCATGTGCTATCTATTTCAGGTAAGTGTGATGTCTAGTTGTCATTACAGTTGTTTTTAAGTGAATAGGTATGTGCTGTTGGAATAATGAACTAGAAATGAACTAGTAATGAACATTGTAAAGTAACCATTCCTGTGCTGCACGGCACATAATTGGCAACATAAATTGGCAAACTGCTGACATTGTTATTGTTTCTTTCCTATGGCCAGACCACATCTTTACAATTTTTCCTTCTTTGTTAGTTACTTAGTATATAAAGCCCATTGATTTCTGTCTTTGATGTTCATGTATTAAACATCCAGAGTCTTAAGTCCCTGTAATCCTTACCATATGACTTACCACACTCCTGTCCTCTCCCCAGGAACCAGTGTCCCTCCTTGGCTCTCCCACTGCTCTTCTGAAAGTTTCCTGGAGTACCAGTCTCCTTTAGCATGGATGTTAAGGGCCCAGAATGGCTGAGCTGCTACATTATGATAATCATAATTATACTTTACCTTTATTTGGCTCTCATTTTATTTCTTGGTATATGGTCTGCTGACCAGCAATAGGAGATAGAATCCCCTGGGAGATTGGTTTAAAGTGCAGATGCCTTGGCCCTGACCCAGATACAATACATCAATGACTTTTGGTTGCAAGGTGGCTGGTATTTGTAATAGGCTCTCCAGCTGAGCCTGCACACTAAAATTTGAGAACCATTGCTATGATGACCATTCTGGGGACAGAAACAAGATCATTAAAAGTGGGCAAGTCAGTCTGAGCAAAAGAGAGGCATAGGGAGGATGAAGGGCACTGGAAGAGAGGTCTGAATTCTGGAACTTCTGTGGGTAGATCTTTAGCAGATGTAAAGTAAAACTAGAGGGCTCAAGGAAGCTTAGAGTTAAGCTTAGCCAAAAGAGGCCACAGGAAGGAAACTAGCCTGCTGGGTAGGCTTCAGATCTTAAAGCAATAGTTCCTGGACATTGGCCTGCAGCAGCTTGAGCTGAAGGCCCTTCAAGGGAGCAGAGAGACCTCATGGGAATGGACAGAACCATTCATCTACCCTGTAACAGCCCCATTGCCACTATCAAGTATCTTAAGGTTTATTAGACCAAACTGTCCTCAGGAAGAAACAGGCACAATCTGAAATTTCTTCCAATTAAGGGTAAGTTTGAAGTACAAATAATCAGGTGGAAAATGTGGACCAATTTGTACTAAAGTGCGAGTAGGTGATAGATGATATCACAGACTCTTTCCTGTTTCTAAGTAGAATTAGATAAGTTAGAAATGCTGGGAAGTGAACTTTACCAGAGGAGGAAAAGAAAGAAATTAGTGAAAGAAAATGGTGGATGAGAATGGGGGGACACTGAAGGTATATTTCTGCCTACATCAGCCCCATTTAATTTCAGCTGCACAAGGACATCTTTGTCCCATGTCCCCTGGATCTGGGCTCACTAGGCTCTGGTTGCTAATGTAACTGACACTGTCAATTTTTATCTTATTAAGTCTCTGCTGCATTTGAAAGTATTGGCCAAACCCTCCTTTTGGGAACTCCACTTGCTTGGCTTCTGTCACCTCATCTCCTTAGGTTCTTTCCTTCCTCCTAACCAGTCCTTCTCAGTCTCTTTCTTAAACTCCTTTCACCCTGCCCTTAAATCATCTCTACTGGTCATTTCATTCTAAGCAATCTCTTCCACTTTTACCATTCTAAGTACCATTGTATCATGTAAGAGTCTTAAATCCCTATGCCTGGTCCAGGCTTCCTTGTAGGGCTTCAGATTCCTATCTTTCCGCCCCTGGGTATGCCCAGCTAAATGTCCCTCAGGCACCTGAAACTCAGTCTAAACCTGGCTCCTCCCTTGCTCTTCTCTCAGACATGCTCTTCTTCCCTTAGTCATTATACTGGCTAAAGATTCCACAGTGCATCTTATCCCTTAACCAGAATCCCAGAGTGTTCGACTTTTGACATATGTTCCATCGAGCCTACAGAAAACATTGTCCAGTTATACTGATCTAGCATCTAAATCTTCCTACACATATGCCTCACTAACTCTTAGTGAATTAATGGAGTGGTTATTCACTGCTTTTCCTGCTTCTAGTCTGGACCCTCTGAAATCCATCATTCCCATTGTCATCCAACTCTTTCACCTAAAAAGGTAAAATTGACTCTGTCATTCCCCTGCTTAGAGCACCTTCCTCCTTCAAGTGCCTCACAAAATGAAGACCTAATTTCTTGGCATGGCGTAGAGGGAGGGCTGTTCATGAGCTGGCCTTCACCTTTCTCCCCAGCATTAGTTCATCCCTCCCTCACCTTGGGATTTGTGCTCCATCCACTTCTGAAGGCTTTTAGCTCCCTGCACACCCTGCAGTGTTTTATCACCTCTCTGCCTTTGCTAGGACTAATCTGTCTTGTGCAATAGCATCCTGTCTCCCCATTTGCCTTCTTTTGGTTACACTGTTCATCATTTAAGACTCAGTTTCAGCTCTCTTCATAAACCATCTCTGATGGAATGTCCCTTCTCCTACTCTTACCCCAGAGACTGTATTTCCATAACACTTAACCACATTGTATCAAACTTTCTTCTCATTTGCTCCCCTCTTTAAACTGTGAGTTTCTTGGGAGCGGAGAATATATCTTATTTGTCTTTGTATCCCCAAAGCAGGTCTGGTACAGTGCCTGGCACGTAGTAGGCACGTCATAAGCATTGTTACTCTGAACTTCCAAGACCCCAAAAGGGTCACATAAACCATGTGTGTGTCTGTGGAGCTCAGGCAGCTTGGATGGAACTTCATTGTGTGTTTTTACTGTCCTGAATGATTGGATATGAATTATTAAAGGTCATACAAGCAGCTGCACAGGACAAAGCTGGAATTTTGATAAATCATTTATAATCTTTCAGAATGGCCTGTGGGTGTCCAAGAATTTTGGGGGAAAATGGGAAGAAATCCACAAAGCAGTATGTTTGGCCAAATGGTGAGTAGTAACAGAGGACTCCATATATGCAGAGCCCTAAACCTTTCCTGACAGTGCTGCCAAAAGTCATATGAATAAATATTGAGCACTTACTATGTGCCAAGTACTCTTCAGGGTGCCTTAAGGGATACTAGGGGGCTATGACACAGATCTTGACCTGGAGGAGCTTCTAATTCTGCTGGGAAAAAAAACTTATTCTCACTAAATGTTAGATTCTAAGTGTAACACATGGCATGTGACTGAGCAGCTACTGCCTGCAAAAGGTTTATTCTCTAGAAGTGGTGACATCAATTGCAATAGCATAAAATACAGCTTTGACTTATATAACTCTCTATGCCTGGATTTATTCCTCATCTAGAGATCCATTTCAGTTACATGGCATGTATCAAGTAGTCAAGAAGAGAACCCAAAGAGCTTCCAGGCTGCCAGTGTCACACTGTCCATGCACCAAGACTCATTCACTTCCCTGCATGGGGCCTCCCAGGTTCTGCATTGAAGATGATATAGTGGAGGGGCTGTTACTTGGGAGTCAACCTGTCTTTGTTCTAACCAGGCTATGCTGCTAGTCACAGGCTTAACCTCTCTGGGCTTTAGTTTTTTTCCTTTTGTGACAGATTTGTTTGGAGCACTTGGGGGATTGTTGAGCAAGAATTGAATTAAGAGCCTGCATACCTCTAAAATTCTGATTAGGCTAGATCCTTGTTTAAGCCTCTTCCTTCTCTCTCTTTGATTCATTTCAGCAAACTTGTTAATCTTGTTTCCCAGTTGATAGCAGATTGCTACCAGAGGTGAAGTAAATGAGTCTAACAGTGTGCACGTGCTGGCATGAGAATCCTATGCCAGAGAGCTGCATGAAAGCAGAAGAGCTGTAATAGCAGGCAAAAACCAAACATAACAGGATGGAATTATTTAGTGCTAGATCAAGATAGCACACATACCTCAGCAACTTCTCATGGGAACACTGTGTTATAATTTCATATGGTTCATGTTCATGATGGTGACCCATAATCCCAAGGCTTTAATATTTAATGTCCTCTATTTAGGACCCATAATCCCAAGAGTTTAATATTTAATGTCCTCTATTTAGGAAGTCAGGCAAACATGTGATAGAGACATTGCCAAATATGTCTACTAAAATATTAAAAAAGTTGCTTTATTTAAGTGAGTCTTCTCCAGAAAAAATCTGGTTAAATGAGGTTTTTACAGCACCGCTATGGTATACTGGCTTTTACTTTATGTATTTTTATGAATTGTGTTTGTACCTTACATGGTCTTATCAGGAAGGAATAATTTTTCAAGTAACTAAGTTAACAAACTGTTTCACTCCTAATGGACCTAAACTATGGAGGATATGTTCAATGCTATAGCAGTTTTGATCATTAAAACTCCTCAATACATAAGAATATCAAATCACCACATCATACATTTTAAATATCTTACAATTTTATTGTCAATTATATTTCAGTAAAGCTAAAAGAAACAAACAGGTGACTCATCTTTAAAACTAAAGTTATTTTGAAATGTATTTTATTTTGAATCCTATACAAGATTCTTTACTTTTGTAACTTATTTCTTTGATGAGTCTCTAAATATGAGATAACTGGCACACTGACAGCTGTTCAGTCACCTTTGAGAACTTTGATTTCTAGTAATTTACAGCCTTTAGTCCTGAAAGAACATGCTCAGACTCAGCACCTTCTGTTGGTGCTAATCTGTAAGTACTATCAGTGTCTGAATCTAGCTTCCTGCAAACTCCTTTTCCAAGTTAGAATTTAAATAATTCACCCTCTGACCTAGTTGTCTATTTGAGATAAAGACTAAATTATTTAGCTCATGCAAAGCATTGAACCAGGTTCTGAGGGAAACAGTACAGCAAAAAAACTGAGTGCCTGCCCTCAGAAGAACCCAGTAATGTAGTCAGAGAGATTAGGCATACATATGTGATTAAAATATTTAACTAGGGATAAAAGAGTGCCAAGTAGCTTATATAGAATGATATAGAACAGTTTCCCAACCTTAAGGGTAACAGTTTTGGAGCAAATAATTCTTTGCTGTAGAAGTTATCCTGTCCATGGTAGGATGTTTGGCAGTATCCATGGCCTCTGCCCAATAAAGAGTTGAAATGACTTCACCTACCTCAGTTGTGACAACAAAACATACCCATAGGGGAGCAAAATCACCCCTATTTGAGAACCCCTGCTTCAGAAGTTTGCAGCAAAGAAGTCTTTCAGTTTTAGTGACAGGGAAAGCTTCTTGGAAAAGCTAGATTTTAAGCTGGAACCTGAAGATTGTGAAGGTAAGATTTGGTTACATGGGAGAAAAGCATTTTAAGAAGGAAAACAGTGTGAGCAAATGCAAGAGACGGATTGGGAGAGAGGTAAGTAGACCAGTCTGACCAGCTGGAAGAGGTCAGATAAGTAGAGGACTGGGGAAGATGCCTGGAGTCAGGCTGTGGGAACCTTGACCATAGAGGCTGTGAAGTTGGATGCACAGCATCTAAGAAAGCTGGTACTTAGGGATGAAACTTACTAGACTTGCTTGGCACTTTGTGACTAAGGTTGACACAGTCCATTAGCGGTCTTGAGCCATGTCTTTTTCCCTGTGTTTGCCTCATTGTAGGGGATCAGAAAACACCATCTTCTTTACCACCTATGTGAATGGCTCCTGCAGTAAGTATATTTTAATCCCAGAAAAGAGTGTCCTGTGGTCCACAGTAGAATATTCTGGGTTAGAAGAGAGAGAAACATCAAAGAACCTTCCATTCTCCTGTAATTTCAAAAGCTAGAGATAGCTATTAATGATTTTTAAAATCTTGAAAGTACAACCAAATTACTGTGCCTAGATGAAATAAAGATGCCATTTATGCACAGAGACAATATACTTAATTTTAGCAGTGTATTTACGCAAAGTAAATATTAGGCTACAAACAATAATAAATTGAAATGTATAGTGATTTCTGCAAAAGAGCATTGATTGTGTTTGTGTTGGAAACCATTGGCTTTCCAATCATTGGCACAGTTTCAAAGCAAAAAGCATAATCTTTTCATTTACTCATTCAACAAACATATTTCATTTATTCATTCACTCATTTGAGCACCTGCAGTAATATGCTAAACACTGTTCCAAGGATGGAGAGAATAAGACACACCAAAATGGGCTCTCATGGAGCTTAAATTCAAATGGGGATATTGGATCATCAGCAAGAAAACCAAAACTCTCAAATAAGACAACTTAACATAGACTAAGAGTTTCAAACAAGTATATGTGTCGTGAAAAAAGTAAAGCAGAATGTTCTGGCTGGGGTGTTTTTATGTAGTACTATATTGGAATTAAGTAAACTCTATCTGTCCATTGTAAAAGCTCACATGTATAAAAGTAAAACCCAAATGTGAATTTTCTGTGTTTAATGCCGTATTATTTTATATTGTCACTTGATTAACATGCATAGTCTTAAAAATTATTTAGCAATAAAATTAACAATTCTAAACTAGGTGTTTTGAACTAGAAGCTCACCAGTAAGTGAACTTTTAACTAATACTTTGTCTTGTTTAAGAAGCTGACCTTGGGGCACTGGAATTATGGAGAACTTCAGACTTGGGGAAAAGCTTCAAAACAATTGGTGTGAAAATCTACTCGTTTGGTCTTGGGGGACGTTTCCTTTTTGCCTCTGTGATGGCCAATAAGGTGAGAGTTCACCTCTTCTCTTTGGATTCTGATATTTCTGTAGATATGCCTCATATAGATCCCTTTTACTACTTGTACTGACAGTTTCTCTCTTGCCTTTTTGCAATATTTAATATCACTGTAAGATTTAGGGGTGATCCTTTTTATAAGCTGATTGACTCTTTTGGGCTACTTTGTACTTCAACTGTTATGTTTTGGGATATGTAGACCCAGTGTTTGGTCTTTGCTCAGACATGGATATCTGAAAAATGCAATCTACTTGCTCATTATCCAATGATAATAGAAGTAGGTAATATTAATTGAGTACCTACTATATAATAGGTACTATCCTGGGTCCCAGGAATATAGCAGTGAGCAAAACAGATAAAAGTCCTGCTTTCGGAGCTTGAATTCAATTAGGGAGATAGATATAAAGCTAATAGATAAGATGTACTATCAGGTAATGATTGACGCTGTGAAGAAATCTAAGGCAGAGTAAGGACCTAGAAAGTGACAGGACTTGGTGCAATGCTGTTTTAGGTAGGGCATTTTAGCTGGGCTCTGGGAGACCTGCTGAAGGGAGAGTATAGCTTTGTAGACATCTAGTCTAAGGAAAGAGGAAGTAGAAAGACACTCAGATTGGAGCATGCTTGAAATATTGAAGAGAAGTGAGAAGAGCCGCATGGCTGGAGCACAGAGAATGGTGGTCTGAAGAGGGAAAGCCAGTGGCCAGATCATACAGAGTCTTTATAGGTTATAATGAAGACCTTGGCTTCTATTCTTCATGTGCTGGGAAGTTGTGAAAGGATTGTGAGCAGAGGAATTGCATAATCTGGCTTCTCTTTCAACCAAATAGGTTATGTGTAGATAGCCTATCTGGGGCAGGGATGGAAGCAGCAAGAGCAGCTGGGAGGCCATTACAGTACTGAGAGAGATGTATTAACAGGGGATAAGAGAAGTGGTTAGATTGTGGCTGTATTTTTTAACATATTGCCAATAGGATTTGCTGATGGATTAGATATGAATTGTGAGAAAATGAAAGGAACCCAGAAGAGACTCTTCAGCCCGAACAACTGGGTGAATGTGGTGCCATTTACTGAGATGGCAAAGATTGCAGGAGAAGCACATTTGTGAGAGGAAAAATCAAGAATCAAGTTTTGGATATGAGATGCTTATTAGTTCTAACTAAGTAGAAATGTCAACTAAGCATTTGGGTATATGAATCTCCCAAAATTATATGGTATTTAAAGCTGTATGACTAGATGCTGTCTTCTAGAGGAATGAGTAGGTAGAGAAGAGGTGGGAGGACTGAGCATGCCCTGAAGCACCCCAACACTTAAAGGTTGGAAAGAGATGGAGAATCCAGCAAAGAAGACAAGAAGGAGGGGCCAGTGAGGTAGGGTAACAGGACAGTATGATGTTGTGAAAACCAAGTGAAAAATGTGTTTTAAGAAGGAAGTGGTCAGCTGTGTTAAACTTAGATCTAAGTTAGATGAGTTATGAGAATTATCTACTAGAATTAGCAAAGTAGAGGTTGTTGGTGACCATGATGAAAGCTGTGTCAGTGACATTAAAATACTAATTAGAGTAGATTCAGAGAGAATTAGAGATGGGGAATTAGACACAGTAACTACACATAACTCCCTCATGCAATTTTGTAATAATTCTCCCAACAACCCTATGAGCTAACACTGTTACCTCAATTTTTATTTGAGGAAATTGAGCAACTTGGCTAAGGTCACCCAGAGATAGAACTCTGGTGGAAATCAGACTGTCAGTTTCCAGGTGTAGCCTCCTACACTACACAGTTACTGTCTATAAAATTAAAATTCGATGTGCTTTTGGAATCTAGTTTCCACCTATAACAATGAAAGTAAGATTGGAAGTAAACATCGAGGTGTGACTTAGGAAAATAGTAAACGTACTTGTCACTGAACTTTAAGGAATATTTAACAGAAGGAGGCCATGAGACTAATTCTCATGCCCTGTCTAATAGCTATCTTAAACTATTTATCAGAGAGTAGGTGTTAATTGTCTCCCTAACAGATCCTTTAAATGGCTAAATATTCCTTGATCAACTTCCTTATATTAATTTTTGACCCTCCTTGGCCTCTTCCCAGCTTGTACACTGTCCCTTCATTATGGCAGTTCCAAGAGACTTCCTTAAAGAGGAGACATGTCACATCTTGACTTCCCTTGTGATCTCCCAAACATGGATTTCACCTCCAATTTTTAGACCCTTAAGTATCTAATTCTTTGGATTATGTCATGACCATCCCAAAGAGACCAAACTTTTGTGCAGCAAACATCATTTTAAAAATTATCTGAGCAAGCATATGCTATAAAACTGAACTAATGTTGGTCCCATCAAACCTTTAGTTGTATTGAAGGAAATTGGAATGCCAGAGGTTGGGAGGATAGTGTCTCACAGGGCCCTATCAGAATGAAGAAGCCAAAGAGGAAGCCAAGACAGCCCTACTTACAGCAGAATGAGCTATTCCATTGCCTGGAACTTTGGTAGAGGTCAGAAACTGCTTTGGTAATTAGTACTGGGACGTTTCATTTATAACAACTGTACCCAGTGACGAAATGGATAATGATGCTTACAATTAGTAATTATGTCCCTCTCCATGTTCCTGCACATGGCATCTTTGTGGAAAATTAAAAAGATAAATATTGGCATTTTTTCCAGGATACAACAAGAAGGATTCATGTGTCAACAGATCAAGGGGACACATGGAGCATGGCCCAACTCCCCTCTGTGGGGCAGGAACAATTCTATTCTATTCTAGCAGCTAATGAAGACATGGTGTTCATGCATGTAGATGAACCTGGAGGTAAGTGGCCCACCCTTGAATGCAGAGATTTAAGCTTTAGGGCCCTACTTTGAGTAGCTTTCTTTCTTATCTGTTGATTCTTCCTCTTACCTCTAGGAATTTATTAATTTCCTACTGAATACTCTGTCTTAGAGATCATATGTAGCCTCTGTTAGAGAGGTAACTTGTTTTGGCACTCTTTAATTGGTTTATGTGTGTTTCTAAGTGTTCTACAGCAATGCTGCTTAAAGAGTGGTCAGAGGACTAGTACTGACTTGTAAACTCTTTGTTACCAAATAAGTGCAGAAAGCAAAAGCAAGCTGTGAGAAACTCTTACAGTTGTTTGACAAAGTAATTTTCTATCCATTGAATCTAATCATTAAAAAGTTTATTGTATTTTGTCTTTTGTATTTCATTCTTCTAGTGATTATATATTTCACGTAAGCCTTGGTTTGTTACATAATGGAAAACTTTAAATTTCTTTTAGCACAGATAGTTTGAAAAGCATTGTTCTAGAGTATAAAGATTTAGAGGTGCCTCAAAGGAAAAACTTCTCAGATTCAGAAAGACATATGCACCCCTATGTTTATCACAGCACTATTTACAATAGCCAAGATATGGAAGCAACTTAAGTGTCCATCAGTAGATGAATAGATAAAGAAGATATGGTACATATACACAGTGGAATACTATTCAGCCATAAGAAAGAAACAAGTCCTACCATTTGCAACAACATGGATGGAGCTAGAGGGTATTATGCTCAGTGAAATAAGCCAGGCAAAGAAAGACAAATACCAAATGATTTCCCTCATTTGTGGAGTATAACAACGAAGCAAAACTGAAGAAACAAAATAGCAGCAGACTCACAGACTCCAAGAAGGGACTAGTGGTTACCAAAGGGGAGGGATGGAGGAAGGCGGGTGGGGAGGGAGGGAGAAGGGGATTGTGGGGTATCATGACTGGTGCACATGGTGTGTGTGAGGTCACGAGGAAGACAGTGTGGCTCAGAGAAGACAAATAGGGACTCTGTGGCATCTTACTACACTGATGGACAGTGACTGCAGTGGGGTATGGTGGGGGATTCAGTAATAAGGGGGAATGTAATAACCACATTGTTTTTCTTGTGAAACCTTCATAAAAGTGTATATTGATGATACCTTAATTAAAAAAAAAGATTTAGACATGCATAAAATAGGAATCTAAATGAAGTACCTTTGCCACCAAAATGTATCTGGGAAGAGCTTCTCTGTAGCATCTGGTTAATTGATTCAACAAACTCGGCATCTACCATAATCCAGTCAGTGAACTGGGTACTAGAATTGAAGAAGGACGTGAAATCTATCTTAAGTACCAAGCCTTGATTAATTCTCAAGTCTTTGTCTACATGAAGAGAAACAGTTGGCTGATGTGTGCAGTCAGCCAGTCATGTGTATGGTTAAACTATTTTCTCTCTGTTTTCTCTCAAGACTTAGTGTTTCTGTTTGTCTATTTCAGATACTGGCTTTGGCACAATCTTTACCTCAGATGATCGAGGCATTGTGTATTCCAAGTCGTTGGACCGACATCTCTACACCACCACAGGTGGCGAGACAGACTTTACCAATGTAACCTCCCTCCGTGGGGTCTACATGACAAGTGTGCTCTCAGAAGGTGAGTCTTGGTGCTGCTGTCCTTCAGCTGGGCGTATTGGGAGTTGAGGCTTTGGGAGACTGATGGTGCTGTCCTCCCACTAATGTTGCTTGCCTTGCCAACACACCTCCCCAAATAAATTCTGCCTCTGTATTTTGAATAAGTTTGGCACACAGAACTAAGAAAAAGCAAAGCAACCGAAAGTAAAAATAAAGACTTTTTAGTTCTATGTTGTCTAGTTTATAAAATAAATCTTCTATATTGGACAGTTCAGGCCTACAAGAATGAGCCTGAGTTTGAGCCACTTTCTGCTTTTCTCCTGCCTTTCTGAATGAGATCTGCCCTGAATCTGATTTTAAATTCAGTCTGTCCTCCCCCACTCACACACATGCTGTCAGTCCCCTACAGCTGTGCAAGCTTTTTCCATAGCACTTATTTTCCAACATGCTAGATAATTTACCTATTTATAACATCTAGTGCTTGTCAGTCTCACCCTGCTAGAATATATATTTCACAAAGCTTTTTTGTTTGTTTTCTTCACTGATACCTTCCCAAAGCCTTACAACAGTTTTCACGTAGTGGGCACACAGTAAATGTTGAATAAGTGAATTTTCCTCCATTTACTTTGTTGTTTGATTTTTCTTGGAAAACTCAAAGCATGTTATTTCTGAATTTGAGCCTGCAACAGTTTCTACCATTGAAAATAGAGAATGGGGAAGAGACATGAGGAAAAAAAAGATATAAGAGGGAGGGGATATGAGGTAGTAAAAGACAAAAATTAGGAATTATTAATTCAGTCTTATGTGCATATGTTCATTCAAATCTTGAGATTCTCTAAAATAAACCTGGTATCATGGCCTTGTCTGAGTAGAGATTAGGATGCCTTCCCATGATAGATTTTACTTCCAAGGCAAGCAAGCAAGAAGGAGAAGGTACATCATTATGTTTGCATTGATAAGGAAATAAAAGGTATCTTTTTTCAAGAGTTTCAGTCTAGATGATTCCTGGAATCATTTGGGTGTGTTCAGGTGGGAAGCCTTCTTCAGATGCCATATTTAGAGTGCTGCTCAGTTACTCACTGACACGGAGCTGTTAGTCAGGTGCTATAGTGGGACTCCGGGGTTATCATGGTGTTACCTAGTCTCAGGAGAGAGCTAAGCAATGATAAAAATTTAATAGGGTGCTTCCAGTGTGTCAGGGTTAATATCTTTCTTTTCCCATTCAGATAATTCTATCCAGACTATGATCACTTTTGACCAAGGAGGAAGATGGAAGCACCTTAGGAAGCCTGAAAAAAGTGAATGCGATGCTACAGCAAAAAATAAGATTTTTTTGTTTGTTTTCTTCACTGATACCTTCCCAAAGCCTTACAACAGTTTTCACGTAGTGGGCACACAGTAAATGTTGAATAAGTGAATTTTCCTCCATTTACTTTGTTGTTTGATTTTTCTTGGAAAACTCAAAGCATGTTATTTCTGAATTTGAGCCTGCAACAGTTTCTACCATTGAAAATAGAGAATGGGGAAGAGACATGAGGAAAAAAAAGATATAAGAGGGAGGGGATATGAGGTAGTAAAAGACAAAAATTAGGAATTATTAATTCAGTCTTATGTGCATATGTTCATTCAAATCTTGAGATTCTCTAAAATAAACCTGGTATCATGGCCTTGTCTGAGTAGAGATTAGGATGCCTTCCCATGATAGATTTTACTTCCAAGGCAAGCAAGCAAGAAGGAGAAGGTACATCATTATGTTTGCATTGATAAGGAAATAAAAGGTATCTTTTTTCAAGAGTTTCAGTCTAGATGATTCCTGGAATCATTTGGGTGTGTTCAGGTGGGAAGCCTTCTTCAGATGCCATATTTAGAGTGCTGCTCAGTTACTCACTGACACGGAGCTGTTAGTCAGGTGCTATAGTGGGACTCCGGGGTTATCATGGTGTTACCTAGTCTCAGGAGAGAGCTAAGCAATGATAAAAATTTAATAGGGTGCTTCCAGTGTGTCAGGGTTAATATCTTTCTTTTCCCATTCAGATAATTCTATCCAGACTATGATCACTTTTGACCAAGGAGGAAGATGGAAGCACCTTAGGAAGCCTGAAAAAAGTGAATGCGATGCTACAGCAAAAAATAAGAATGAGGTTTGTTTTATTCCGATTGTCATAAGTATTTGAAGCAAAGAAGAGGTTTTATTCTGCTCTTAGCAATGCCAGGCTCATTTGGATAAGGAAGTTTCATGCTTGATTAGGATCCACAACTAAAGATGGAAAGTTTAGAAATGAAAGTAATGAAACTAACTTAGAATGTAGGAAATAGGAACTGTGGAGAAAGGCCAAAATACTCTATTTTTGTCTTTTAAAGAAAAACAAAACGGAAGACTAACAATTTGTGTTAGTTTACTAAACTGCTGAATGGAAGCAGAATGGAAAAATGGGCCAGTGATTAATCAGGAGTCAGGATGGCAGCTATGAGACTTTCAGAATTCTACAAAAAGCTATGTTATTCATGAGCAGGGCAAAGCCATGCTGGCCAAAAACAAACGCAAGAGAACATGGCCTTCTCTTCTCCTTTGCCTGGGCTTCTCAGAGCTGGTGGGTGTGGGTGCCACCCCAAAGAGCAAGGGAGGGCAGGAGCTGGTCCCTCTGAGGAGAGGTTGAGAACTAGAAACACAAAGGCGTTGCTCCAGAAGATCCCAGATTCCAGGAGTGAGAGGTTTTGATAGGCAATAGAAAAGGGAGACAAGCTTTGTGTCAGGCTCTCATAGAATTTGAGAGAAGCTTAGGGTAACACTGGGTGTTTCTTCAAAAAGGGGCAGTTGTTGTAGTTTCCAAGCTCTCTGCAGAGTCCTTGTGGCCAGTGTGCACTCTGCTGTTCTAGGCTGGGTTTTCTGTTTTAAGAGTCCTAATGTGAGTCTCTTCAACAACGGATGTTGGCAAAACTGGACAGCTACATGTAAGAGAATGAAACTGGATTACTGTCTAACCTCATACACAAAACTAGACTTGAAATGGATCAAAGACCCAAATGTAAGTCATGAAACCATAAAACTCTTAAAAGATAACATAGGCAAAAGTCTTTTGAATATAAACATGAGCAACATTTTTCTGAACACATCTCCTTGGGCAAGGGAAACAAAAGCAAAAATGAACAAATGACCACATCAAACTAAAAGGCTTCTGTACAGCAAAGGACACCATCAGTAGAACAAAAAGGCATCCTACGGTATGGGAGAATATATTTGTAAATGACGTATCCAACATGGGGTCAACATCTAAAATATATGAAGAATTCAAATGCCTCAACACCCAAAAGGCAAATAACCCGATTAAAAAATGGGTGAAGGATATGAACAGACACTTCTCCAAAGAACAAATTCAGATGGCCAACAGGCACATGAAGAGATGCTCCGCATCACTAATTATCAGAGAAATGCAAATTAAAACCACAATGAGATACCACCTCACACCAGTTAGGATGGCCAACATCCAAAAGACAAGGAACAACAAATGCTGGTGAGAATGCGGAGGAAGGGGAACCCTCTTACGCTGTTGGTGGGAGTGTAAATTAGTTCACCCATTGTGGAAGGCAATGTGGAGGTTCCTCAAAAAACTAAAAATAAAAATACCACTTGATCCGGGAATCCCACTCCTTGGAATTTACCCAAAGAATACCACTTCTCAGACTCAAAAAGACATATGCACCTCTATGTTTATTGCAGCACTATTTACAGTAGCCAAGATATGGAAGCAACCTAAGTGTCCATCAGTAGATGAATGGTTAAAGAAGATGTGGTACATATACACAATAGAATACTATTCAGCCATAAGAAGAAACAGATCCTACCATTTGCAACAACATGGATGGAGCTAGAGGGTACTATGCTCAGTGAAATAAGCCAGATGGAGAAAGACAAATACCAAAGGATTTCCCTCATTTGTGGAGTATAAGAACGAAGCAAAACTGAAGGAAAAAAATAGCAGCAGACTCACAGACTCCAGGAAGGCACTAGTGGTTACCAAAGGGGAGGGGTGGGAAAGGGGATTGAGGAATATTATGATTAGTACGCATGATGGGGGGGAGTCACCAGGAAGACAGTGTAGCACAGAGAAGACAAATAGTGATTCTGTGGCATCTTACTATGCTGATGGACAGTGACCACAAGGGGTGTTGGGGGGACTTGATAATATGGGTGAATGTAGTAACCACAATGTTTTTCATGTGAAACCTTTACAAAAGTGTATATTAATGATAACTTAATAAAAAATAAATAAATATTTTAAAAAGAGTCAGTGTGAGATGAAGTGAACCTGCACCACCCCCAGTGCTTGCTCTCTCCCTTCTCTATACTCATGTATGCTGTTGTCTGTCCCTTTTGCTCCCTTTTTATGGTCATGCTGCTGGGGCCTTGCCTTGCACCTGCCCTCCTCAACCTGAAGTCTACACAGGTACAGCGGCCTGTTTGCTTGCCTTGCCCCACTCATGCTCCTGTGCCTCTTCATGGGTCCCCTATGCCTGTGAATAAAGTCTGTGCTTCTTACCTGGTGAACGAAGGTCCTCTCCTCCCCTCAGGCTCTCTTGTCATTGCCCATTTCACCACTGACACATGCCTTGTTGTGGTCCTATGCTGCTTCCTGAGCATCCTGCCCATGCCCCTGCCTCTGTGTCCTCACCCACGTCACTCCTGGGGAGGCTGTGTGTGTCCTGCTTTCCCCGATTCATTAGGATTAGTGGAAATTCTCCCCATCCTCAGTGCCCATCCTCAGTTAGAACCAGTCATTTCTTTTAATTTCATTAATTGTTTGCTTGAACCTCTTTTTAATTGCAGTAAAATATATGACATAAAATTAACATTTTAACCAATTTGAATCTCTTTTAAAGCACTGAATTTCATTCTGCTTTATACCTCAACTAGTTTCTGAGAAATACTTCTTAAAGACAGGACCAGGTCTTATTTCAAATCACCACCACATCCTGTACAGTATCTGAAATATGTCAGGCGCTCATCAAGTTTATTTGTGTGGAATCACACTTCAAATATTTATCAGAGGTTTTCATATAATTCAGGAATAAAATAAACTAAACCAGATAACACATGAGAAAATAATTGCATCATTTGCTCCCAAAGACACTAATGCATTTCAGAATCAAAAATTTCCTCCTGGGGCTACACTCAACAACAACAAAATAACCCAGATTAATAATGCGCAAAGGACTTGAATGGACATTTCTCTAAAGAAAATATACAAATGGCCAGTAAGATGCTTGACATCACTAATTATGAAAGAAATGTACATCAGAACCACAGCAGAACACCTCATGGTGTTCATGGCTACTATAAAAATGACAAGTGGTGTCAAGGATTTGGAGAAAGTGGCATCCTTGTACACTGTTGGTGGGAATATAAAGTGGTATAGCCACTTAATGTATATATAAAGTCTGAATGGTTCTAGTGGTTCCTCAAAAATTTAAATGTAGAACTATCATATGATCTAGGATTTCCACTTCTAGATATATATCCAAAAGAACTGAAAGCAGAGTCTCAAAGAGATATTCACAAGCCTGTGTTCAAAGCAGCATTATTCTCAATAGCCACAGTTTTTTGGTGGAAGCATCCCAGGCATCCATTGACAGATGAATGTATAAACAAAGTGGTGTATACATAACAAAGGAATAATATTCAGTCTTTAAAAAGCAGGAAATTCTGACATATGCTACTACATGGATGAACCTTAAGTATATTATGCTAAGTGGAATAGGTAGTCACCAAAAGACAAATACTGTATGACTCCACTTTTATGAGGTGCCTAGAGTAGTCATATTCATAGAGACAGAAAGTAATGGTGGTTGCCTGGAGCTGGGAAGGAGGTACTGGGAAGTTACTGTTTAAATGAGTATAGAGTTTTAGTCATACAGGATGAAAAGTTCCAGAGATGGAGAGTTGTGGTGGTTGCACAACAGTGTGAATGTCTTAGCACCACTGAACTATACACTTAAAAATGGTTAAGAAGGTACATTTTATGGCATGTGTATTTTACCATAATTTTTTTTAAAAGTATCCTATTGAGTTCTGGGTCTAAGTTCAAAGCTTTATTAGAAGGCTCTGTAGCTGAGTAAAAAACTGTGCTTTTGGTTTCAATTGTAGCTTTGTTTTCTTTTCACAGTGCAGCCTTCATATTCATGCTTCCTACAGCATCTCCCAGAAGCTCAATGTTCCAGCGGCCCCACTCTCTGAGCCTAATGCCGTTGGCATAGTCATTGCCCATGGTAAGCAGCCCTGCCCTCACCTCCCTGGGAAGAAGTAGCTAAGCACACAGAAACTCAGTCACAGCCTTGAGCCCTTTAAGAAACCCACCATACATAGCATTTATCATCTTTTGTAGAAATTCTTGCATGATAGTGATACTTCGGGCTCTTCACAGACTGCCGTCAGAGGGAGCAGCGTGATTTCTCCCCCTCCCAAATTTTCAGTAGCCTTTTTTTTCTATTAGAAGAAGTGTGATAGGAAATTGAATAAGTTCATTGAAAATTATTCTCTTGGCAGTAAATCCTGTTTGATTGCTGATTGGTGCTGATGAAATGGTGGACTATGTTGTAGGTAGCGTGGGGGATGCCATCTCAGTGATGATCCCGGATGTGTACATCTCAGATGACGGGGGTTACTCCTGGGCGAAGATGCTAGAAGGGCCTCACTATTACACCATCCTGGATTCCGGAGGCATCATTGTGGCCATTGAGCACAGCAGCCATCCTATCAATGTGATTAAGTATGCATGAGCTCAGTTCCACTCTCACTATCTGCAGAAAGGGCAACTGTGAGATATTTTAAGTTTGTTGCAGGGAAGTTATGAACCCTGATTCATGTTTGTGCCATCAGCAGGATTGTAGGGAAGGTTCCTGGAGGGACTGCATTTAAAGCAACTCAGATTGAAGGTGTTGCTTTTTCCTCCGAGTCCCTCCACATAAGACTTTTCATCACTTTTTAAAAATACTCCTTTTTCTTTCCACAAGAATATTATGAAAGCATTTAAGCACTCTGGGTGGGACATGATTTCTTAAATACAAGTTCTTATAACATAATTACTGTTTGTTGATTGAGAAGCCCATTTTTATATAGGTCACTACCTCTCTCCTTTGTAAGAATTTTTATAAAAGCATTTCCTTTGATAATCCCTGAATGAATTCCTTTTCCCCACCCTGTTAATTGTAGGCATTAAAAATTAATATAATTGTCAGTCAGCAAGCCATCACCTAAGTATGAGGTTTCTTCTCTGGTTTGGTATCAAACAGCCAGAGCAGTTTCCTGATATTACCATAAATGTTGACCCTCTCATGATCTTTCTCTAATTATGGTTTCAGGTTCTCTACAGACGAAGGTCAGTGCTGGCAAACCTACATGTTCAGCAGGGAGCCCATCTACTTCACCGGTCTAGCTTCAGAACCTGGAGCTAGGTCCATGAATATCAGTATTTGGGGCTTCACAGAATCTTTCCTGACTCGCCAGTGGGTCTCCTACACTATTGATTTTAAAGATATCCTTGAAAGGAATTGTGAGTGTCTCATTTGACCTTTTCTATCAGAAGCTTGTAAGCCTATTTCCCTAAATAATCAGTTCAGTTTATTTTAGCTGGAGTAAGAAAATGCATGTGAGAGAGAATGGAAGGTTATTCCATGTGGGTAATCAGGCAATGGACCGATATCAGGCAGCTTCCCTCTTCGAACTAGCAGTGTCCAAGAGAAAGAAAATAATTTAAATTATTCTATCAGTTGCATTATAAAAGAGAGAAAATTAATTTTGATAATATAATCATCTCAACATATCTGAAATAGTATCATTTCAACATGTAAGCAATGTTTTAAAGTTATTAATGAAATATTTTACATTTTTTTCATTGAAGTCTTCAAAATCCAGTGTGTATTTTACACTTACCCTAATAGTAAATTTCAATTCAGACCAGCCACATGTGGCTAAGACTATCACATAGGAGTGTATAGCACTGCCCCATTAGATCTCTGTGAAATTTATTATTTTTATTTTATTTTTTTTTTAATTTTTTTTTTGAGAGGGCATCTCTCATATTTATTGATCAAATGGTTGTTAACAACAATAAAATTCAGTATAGGGGGGGTCAATGCTCAATGTACAATCATTAATCCATCTCAAGCCTAATTCTCGTCAGTCTCCAATCTTCTGAAGCATAA